CCTGTCTATGGCAGGAGGGTTGGAACTCGATGATCTTCAAGGTCCTTTCCAACCTAAACCATTCTATGATTCTATGATGCTCCCAGAAAGAGAAATGTCCTTCCTAGAGCTCTGATTACACCAGACGCTGCATGAAGAACCAGGAGGACTCAAGGTGGGACTGGCGAACAACCAGGAGGAGCAAAGACAGGCACACAACAGAAACCAAGATCCCAAAGCACATGAGGATGTTGGGACTAAGTTTTCCTAGGAGGCACCAGTGTGACAGCAGATTAATAAAATATAGGTGTTATCGTGGGGAGAGCACTGGTCTGAACCCCCCAAGACTCCAGGGGTACATGTTCTGAGCTGCTGAACCTCAGGGAGGTTCTGGAGCACAGAATATGGTCTCCACTTTATTTATAAAATCTGGTTAAATTTAGAGCTGACCATCGGAGAGATTCATTAAAAATAAAATAAAATTCAGATTGGTTTGAACAAAGTATAAATGGGAACATATAGGTGTGAAAACCAGCTGGCTGGTGGCAAGCAGGTTTGCAGATGATTGCGATCACAGCACAGCTACACCTCAAGACACCCAGATCCAGAAAACAAAGGACACCCTACACCAAAAGTAGACTGAGAAAATAAAGAGATGATAACAGAAAGCTAAAGAACGGGATCGGAGCTAGAAGGCACCAGGGGAAGGAGACACAAGAATGGGAGTAAATCAGTGTTGTCCTTCACTGATTCATGGAATTGGGGTGGGATGGAGACCCAAAAGACCTCACCCACCAGCAATTCCTAAAGTGTGCACAGCCCAAAACCAGACTTGGTAGCCAATGTAAGAAGAAGGAAGGATTCCAAACAACGACTTAGCAGCCGGCATCCCTTGTCCCCTGTGTCACCAGAATTAATCCCGACCAGACACCTTGGACACACGTACCTCAGTGCTCGCAAGAGTGAGTGAATTCAGTTAAAAACAAATAATAAATCCCCTTTCCCTCCTCTACGTTCTCCCATCGAGTTTTGTGCAACCTCCAAATGATTTCTAGCACCGCAGCAATTTTACGGAGGAATTACTCAAGTTGTTCATCAGCGGAGTTGGCTTTTCTACACTTTCTAAACGACTAATAATATAGTTTAATCAACTGTTGGGCAGGTATAATGAGCTGGCACCATGAATCAGTTCTCCTGTAATAAATTATCAAGTCTCATAGCTGCACGGCGTCACAGGCTGAAGGATAAAAACCTGTTGCACAGATCCCAGCAGATCTGAGAAACGCCGCCAGAAGAAATCCCCCGGTCATCTCAAGTCACTCAGCTCAGATCTGCACCGCTCCGATATCTGCACCGGGCATTACCCAGGATTCCCAAAATCATTCAAGTAAGATGGTTTCTTTGGGGACTGGCTATAATTTTTAGCCTCAAAGTTCCACCTGGCAAACTCCGATGGCATCCTCAACCTGAAAGCAGTAAGTTAATGACTAAGGACTATTATTGTACTTAAGAAATGTTGATTTGATCTTATTATTAGTAATTCTTAAAACACTACTTAAATTCTGAAAATACTATGATTTTTTAATTTCTTTAGAGTTTCTGTACTACAGTACAGAAGGTTACTTATGAGACTTAAACGTCCTGGCGCTGGTATCCACCTCCAAAATGTGAAATAAGTATTTCTGTAGTCCCTCCCGGCTGTGCAGAACAACCAAAACATGCGGATTTAACTTGGAGGCAATGCTTTATTAGCATTAATAAGCATAACATGCTGTGTAAATTTAGAGAAAAATCACCAGAGGAGATTAAATAGACCATGATTCTCCAGTCTGGGAAGCATGGACGAAGAGGGGAGGACTATATAGTTATAAATGGTGCCCAGAAGGTGATCAGGGAATGACTATTCCATCCTTCTCATGAACGACAAGCGAGGAGGCGCCAGTTGAGGACGCCCTTTTCATGCAGTCTGTAATTCAGTTGCGCAACCCATTGCCATAAATGTTGTGTACCAAAGAAAGGACTAAATAAATTCACCAAACCCAAAGAGAACTGCCGGCTATTACACGATGACAGCTTGGTGGCACCCTCTGGCAGTTGAAAACCCAACGCTACCAGGCTGCAGAGCTTCACTGCCAGCACCTGAGAGATGCCGGCCAGGCGAAATAGCCCTCCTCTGTGTGCCTCGTCTTGTCCTCCTCTTGTAGGTACCTGCCAACCCAACAGTGTTGGGCAGGCCCTGGGCTTGACCCAGAACATCTGTCCTCATGGTCTTACATCTCCGTTGTTGGGTTGTTTCCTTGAGGAATATCACAGGAGCACGCACCAAAGCCAACCAATGGCCCAGTCTACTGTGAGCATATGATTGCTGTGTCCATCCATACCTGGTGCAGACGGCCACCTTCTCCGGATCATGGATGTAGGGGCAGCTCTCCCCACGATTACACTTGCCAAAGCGGTTGTAGTACATGCAGTATTCCTTCTTCTTTTTCTTCTGCTTGGCTTGACGAATGATGGCCAAACTTCGCTGAACAGCACGGCTAAACGGAGAAAGACAAGAGGGTCAGGTAACATCGCCAACGCAACAATGACGTAGACGAGTTGGGGTTGTTCATCCTGGAGAAGAGAAGGCTCCGGGGAGACCTTAGAGCCCCTTCCAGTGCCTAAAGGGGCTCCAGGAGAGCTGAGGAGGGACTTTTTACAAGGGCATGTAGCGATAGGACAACAGGGAATGGCTTCGAACTGGAAGAGGAGAGATTTAGATGAGATATCAGGAAGAAATTTTTCACTCTGAGGGTGGTGAGCCCCTGGCGCAGGTTGCCCCAAGAAGCTGTGGTTGCCCCATCCCTGGAGGTGTTCAAGGCCAGGTTGGACTGGGCTTGGAGAAACCCGGGCTGGTGGGAGGTGTCCCTGCCTATGGCAGGGGGGGTGGAACTGGATGATCTTCAAGATCCCTTCCAGCCTAAACCGTTCTATGATACTATGATATCAGCAGTAGGATATGATAAAACACGGCTAGAATCTGGCATTTATGTCTGTACACTGACAGCTGGAACAGACACACTTCAGGAATAAATTTGAGTCTGTTACAATTAAGAGGGACTTGTCTGCAAACGCTCATACTTAAGGACATGATGATATGTGACACATCTGTAGCACAGAAAAAAAAAAAAAAAGCCAAGGAGAAAGCTGGTAGCAGCAACGTGCCGTCATCCTCCTGTACACAGTGCTTTCCAGTTGCCACGTGGCAGGATCCCAGTTTGTGAGCGGGAGAGCGAGACGGAAAACCTACAGGTTTGCCGGGTTAAATTGGGATGGGCTCCAGAGTTGGAGAAAAAAAACCCCAACAAAATACCCCTTGAGAATAATCTGGTTCATTTAAAAAGGGACTTTCCGAGCAGGATTTGGCCTTCTTTGATGGCAGGAGGGAGTTGCTATCCATTAATCATCTTTCAAACCCTTTCCAAGCAGAAACGGCGGCTTTCGGCTGAGCTTAAACCCGCTTTGTAACAGAGGATAAGAGAAAAGCCACGGCCGGAGCTTCACCGATGAAACAGCCAGTAAAATAGCCGCGTCTCGAGCTGCCAACACCGTCTTGACCATAAATCACGCGCAGCACCCAGAGGAGGAGCGCGCCGTTCCTCCCCACGCGTACAAACCTGGCGATGTATCGGCTCGTAGCTGATCTGTTCAGGCAGGAGGATGGAGAGAAGCCAGGACTGGGCGTACAGTGCAACCTCGCTGTTGGGAAAAAAAAAAAAAAAAAGGAAAAACATAGATAATTTGCTCAGAATCGTAAATTTTTGCAGGAATTCACACGGCCCTCAGTATCGTAGGTCCATAAAAATGCTGCGGGGGCTGGAGCCCCTCTGCTGGGAGGACAGGCTGGGAGAGTTGGGGGGGGGCTACAGAAAAGATGGGGAGGGACTCTTTATCAGGGAGCATAGGGATAGGATTGGGGGGGTAACAGTTTCAAACTGGAAGAGAGGAGATTTAGATTAGATACTAGGAAGAAATTATTTGCTGTGAGGCTGGTGAGACACTGGCACAGGTTGCCCAGAGAAGCTGTGGCTGCCCCGTCCCTGGAGGTGTTCAGGGCCAGGTTGGACGGGGCTCGGAGCAACCTGGGCTGGTGGGAGGTGTCCCTGCCCATGGCAGGTGGTTGGACTAGATGACCTTTAAAGGTCCCTTCCCACCCAAACCATTTTACGATTCTAAGATCTTATTGCTTAACCCAAAGTGAGCAGCTCCCAGAGCCCGGATGAGTGAGGATGTTCTTTACGGACCTATATCTTGTTGGCACCTCCAGAATGGCCATGGCAAAAGGGCTCTTTGCCAGCTCCGAGCACAGCAGGGACCTTTCCCCTCGGCACCCAAAGGTGCCAAAAACCCCCTCCGGGCAACTCGCATGCTTGCGTTATTGGTCCAGCAAATTTCCACGCTTGGCTTGGCTGCTCGCCGCAAGCCGGTCGGGGAAGCCCAGCGCTCGCCTCCGATAGGTGCACGCACCGAATTAAATTGTCCTTGACGGGCGTTGGAAAGACTGAATTGAAAATAAAGGCTCTATCTCAGCTTTCCAGGTGGTAGGAGAACGGCTCAGTCATTCACCTGCCAGCCCGGGCGTGTTGGGGAGTTGAGCGAGCGGAATTTGATAGCGCGGCAGCGCGCTCTCCCCGCGCGCGAGCTGTCACTCGGGCTGCCGGCGTCGGCGAAGTCCCCATCTGTTCCCTCCGTAAATAAAACCGCTGGCGCAGGCGCCACGCCGGCACAGGCGGCACATGCCTGTCCATCAGAGGCATCGAGCCAGCGCCGTGCGACTCAGCGGCAAGCGCATCGGAGCTCGCCGCAAGCTCGCTCAAGCTTGCCGTGAGCTCGCCGAGTTATCAAGCCAGCGCCGGGCGGGGGGGCGGGGGGGGTTGGCTTTTTTTTTTTGGCTTCCCCCTCATCGCAGAGCTGCTTCACTACTAATTTTCAGCGCTAAAATAAATGCACGTCAACTTCGGGTCACTCCAAAGATGCCGTAGAGCATCTCTGAGCGAGGAGACGGGTTTAGAAGCCACCACGCTTAAGCAAGGTTGACCTCCCAACTGATGCAGGGAGAAAGACCCAAATTAAAGTCCGACCATTAGGGTAGGGATAGAGCATCCTTCGGCCCTCGGCAATTATGTTTAATGCTCCTTAAAGAAAGCTCAGCAGGACGGGCTATACCAGGAGCCGGGTCCTCGGGGCAGCAGACAATCTCACTAAATATTTAATACCCAGGGTATAAAAGCGGCCTCTCGGGGACGAACACGTTCCCGTGCTTGTGCGTCATCCTTTTGGTTAAAGCAGCCTGCTACCCGCATCTTGGCCAGAAAGAAGGAATCCCTAAAGAAAGAAATAAGATAAGTAAATAAATAAAGGGTGTAACAGCCTTACGCTGTTGGTTTGGGATTTATAGCCAGCAAAAATACATCCCTGGCATAATGTTTGGGGTTTTTTTTCGCCCGGCTTTTATCTTCTGGCGAGAAGTCACACTATTATAGGTGGACGGGCGATGCGCATCTCCCCTTAGAGGGCTCTTGCTGTGAATTAATTCACAGCCCGGAGGCCGTTTAACCACCCAAAAGCCGGTCCCATCCCTGACAAAATCCGGGTGAGCTGCATCCATCCAGTGTGCCGACCAGGTCCGGCAAAGCATCCGACAGGCAGCTGGCAAAGAAACCCCTCGTCGACGCTTTTCCACCACCTAATTCCTCATCCCGAGCGCAAATCCTCTCCGAACTATTAGGAAACCACCTAAGCATTTGGGTTTTAGAGTGGTTACCAACTCGGAATGCTCAGTTAGAGCCGCTACCAAGAGATTTGCATTCATAAATACAAAGCCTCTGATATTCTGCAGACAGCGGAGATTCGGGATGTATCTGTATTATCAAAGTAACGGTGGGAAATCAGGGCTGAGCAAAAGAGAACCGGAGAACTGGATAAGGGTTAAATCAAAAAATTAGGAGCTGAAATTTGCCGGGGTCCACATTAAATTAAACAAAAAGCCAAAATGACACCGCCAGGGTTGGGACTCTGATCTCTGGGAGTCTCCTTTGGTCCTGACATCACCCACTTTTATTTTGCAGGACAGACACCAGTCCCAAATCCGTCCCGTTCATCTCCCCGGTTGCTCTCCGGAGGGGGGAGAGCATCAGCGTGGGGACGCAACGGTGCCGTCGGATCAGGAGAACAACTTGCACATCCCATATTCCGCTTCCCTCTATATTGCGAAAGTCCCTCGCTGCAGAGATTTAAAGTGGCATGGCAAGTTCCTCCCATGCACACGCTCAAAGGCAGCGGGAAGAACAGGGGGAGGGAAAAAAAAACCAAAAAGACGGAAAAAAATACAAGCTGCTCGGGGAGAGCATCAAGAACTGCACATTAAGGGCTTTTTAACTGATTACACACAGCACGGCGGCGTCAGGCTTGATATTTTATACCCCGCATAAGGGACAGGTGTTTTTCTCTCGGCTTTTTATTTTATTTTATTTTTTTCTTTCCTTCTTAATGATTTAGTCGCTTCGAAGCGCCTCATCTGTAAGGAAATACGCAGCCCGTGCAAGCGGGGGTTGTTTCTCTTAATGCATCATCCCAACCTGACACCGGCTGCTCCGGCGGCTCGCGGTGTTATCAAGCGCGAGCGGCGAGAAGTGATTGTTGTACCTAAGCCAGCCGGGAGACT